AGTGTAATTTGCTTACCTCGAGTAAATAACCAGAAATGGAGACGAAATGTCATTTAATTTGTTTGAAACTCATTACGGTGACAACTGCGCTCCGATTGGCCAGCCAGAATTCGAAACAATGGACGGGTGTCGTCAATTGTTTCACTTCAAATCGACCAGTTTAATTTGAACTTTGCTATAATGGACGAAAACTAAAAAAATACATATTTAATATATAATTACCGATGAAATGTGATTCCGTTTGTTTTGTAATTAGATGTTTTGCTGTTTTTCTCACACCACCGAATGGAACAGCCCCCATAGATATTAACATACAAGATGTCGTTGTAAAAGATTACTTACTATAAAATAAAGTAAATTATCTTTTCTGTATTATTATAATAACGCACACACTCGACATAGCCTCGCACTAGGGAAACCCTGTGTCGCGGATGCCATGGATACAGACAATCACAAATTACACCCAAACTCACGAGAAAAATAAATGTAGGCCATACAAATAATGCTCCCGGCCCGGGAATCGAACCTGACATCTCTGCGTGGCAGTCCGGCATGGTAACCGTTCGGCCACAGAGTTGATTCTGCATTACTGAGTACTTATTGTGTCCCCGGTGCACCGAATGTTAAAGCAAAGAGGGAAGGGACTTATGCAATTTAGGCCGTATCAAAGAAACTTTTAAATATGCATTTTAAGTACAACTCTTTTAAAGGTGGAATACGTAGATACCTTCACTTTGCTGCGATTCGATATTGATTCTAATGTCAATTGGAAAGCACACGTCAAAAAGATTAAACAGATTATCAAAATTCGTATATATATTATCTTTATTACAATAAATAGAGAATATTTTTGGAATATATGGAGACGTGTACACAGATCAGTTGTTGGCGCTTAAGAACCGATATTTAAAAGTGATATAAGGCCCATTTGCCTGATGAGTTGCCAGGGGTCGATGGCCCTTATTTCGTCTCCATTTCTGGTTATATACTCGATGAATCAGTATGACGATTTCAAGTGTAATTTGCTTATGTACGAAATAACGATTATTTAACTTTGACTTTGACTCAATATTTGTATTTATACTTTTGTACATATCACTTCCGCATAACCTGATAAATTATGATTACATATGACGAAAATGACGAAAAAATTAAACTACGTCTAGGAAATGAAACCATTTTTTCGTAACTAAATCGTGTGTTTTTTGTTTTTGCAAACAAATCAACGTTTCCGGCCCTTTAGAGGTCACGTGGTTACGACTGTGAAAGATAGTTTCATTTCTTATGCGTAACAATCGAAAATCTAAGATCTCTATATGTTTTTACGTCGTAAATGAAATTTAAAATTTTTTTAGACGTGCATAATTTTATTTATCTCTATGTTTTCCCTAGAAAAAACAATTGTGTTACAGTGAATTACGACAAATCATTACTTTTTTTTATTGGCCCTTGAACAGTATTAACTTAGTATACATATTTCGAACTGAAAAAGTATTGAAAAGTAAAAAAAATACAATATTTAAAATGACCCATAAATTGGGGAAAAGATAGTGGCAAAAGCACGGTATCCCTAATATCAGCTTAAGCGTAATTTAATTTATACGTTTTTTATTTCATCTCTCTTTCCCGCGTATCATAACATCACAGCTGGTCGAAACGAGATGGACATATTTGACAAAAATGAAATATTCTCCTTATTTTAGGAGGTTTATACGATGCGAACAAAAATCTTTCAATCAAGAAAAACACTTCAAATATCATCTAAAATATATGAAATCGTAATATTCCAGGCTTGTAAGAGTATTTCACTAGTAATTCATACAAGAAAATTCATTGATTGTAATGAAAAATTAAAACTTACGTGTGAAAGGCTATGTTGGGAATTTTTCGTTCCGTACGGCTTTTACAGCCTAAAATATAACAATGGACCATTATTGTGAGCTGCAATAATTGTCAATTACTACAAAGGAACGGTTAGTTACTTTGTAAAACACTTCTTAAAAGCACAAACACATAAAATCGATGCACATCAAACACTCGGGATGATTTGATAGACTCAACCGGCGTAGAGTCATACAACCAAAACCGCATATGTAGAAAGGGACAAAAAATATTCTTTTCTCATTTAGTCTGATATGTCTGTGCATAAATCTATCTCGTTTATACGGTTTTTATTATTTATAGAGCCCCTCTACCTAATTGTCCCTCTACGATTTCTCTAGTGAGTTTGGGTGTAATTTGTGATTGTGTATATGTGTGTCCATGGCAACCGCGAGACATGGGTTTCTCTAGTGCAGGGCTATGAGTGCGGGCATTATAGAAATCTGCACGTACAAGAAGGTTCACAACCCTCTGAAAACATGTGAAGGCAAAGAACGAGCAAGACTTTCTAGGAGTTGCTCTTTGTAAATAAATATTTTATGATTTACATAATTTATTTCAAGCAGCATAGATCGAGACGACCTGCAAGAGCTAAACAAGTACCACGGATTTTTGTCATCCAAGTACGCAGCTGTATTATAAAAAACCTTTAGTAAAAAGTTCGAAGTATAACGCCGTATGTCATAATCTCAGTACAGAGTACTAAAAAAAAACCGACCTCAAAAGTACGTGGAATTACATATAATTACCAAATTTTTATATTATTGAAATCGGTTAACGGAAAGTGTGCAAACCCGGATTCATCCCCTAGTTCGCCACTATACGGGACTGGATAAAGGAGATAATAAAAATCGGTTCTCACTACTCAAAGTATATTGAGAGAGATTAACAAAATTAACCATTAACCCATATATGCCCGTAACTATTTTAGTTTTCGATTTTTGTTATTTTCGGATATAAATATTAGAGTAAATGTAAATAAAAATGGAACTGAATTATCAGTTTTGTGTAAAAAATACTGGAAAATGGTTTTTAGAGCTGGGTCACTAACGACCCA